ATCTATTTCAATATGCACGATAAGGGCGTATCATGCGCTCTCGGCGCAGCTGCTTATCACTCAAATCAATGCATAAGAAAGCAGATCGCAACATTTTATTTTTGTCCTACGTTATTTGTTCCAATACGAATCAAAATGAAAAATCGTGTATCACCGTCATTATGTGACAAACTATTTAATGTTTCCTGAAATTAATGAGTCTACAGCAGTATTATTTTGCCAAAAAGAGGAGGGGAAGATATACCAAGGGGACACAAGAAAACAATAACGAAAAAGACAGGACATTGCAGTTTACTCACAGACAACAGTTTAAAAGATAGGCGAAGGATACCAAAGGGACATTCAAACTCACAAGTCGACCAATAAAAAAAGACAAACACAGAAAAACAACATAACACAAAACACAACATAGAAAACCAAAGCAACATCAAACTTAATGAATCTGATACATTCACTACGTTTAGTCGTGTATGGTGTCCAGCGCAGGGTTTAGCATTTGTTTCTATGTTCATTAAAGTATGTTCAAAATGAATAAATTCTTGCAAATCATGGTCGATATTTTATATGTATAATTATATGTTTGGTTTGCTTTAGGCTACATGCTCAAAAATGTTCATTTTTCTTTGTAGTTATAAAAGCTGCATAATCGTGTCATGTACAATCACATTGAATGTTAAAGAATATCCAAATCGTAGGATAAGTTAACAAATGAATAAAAACTAGCCTACTATACAATTATACGTTAGTTTTAAATTGCAGACGTCAAGTTTTCAGTAGTTTTATTCATTAGGCCCTGTAAAAGGTCAGAATGATAATTGATATAAAAAAAGAAAAAACAACACAAAAGGTAGCGATATTATCTGCTCTTTGGTCGGGTCTCTTTGACATATTCCCCATTTCCATTCTCAATTTTATAGACCATTTACTCAATTTAAGAAAAATAATTAAGTTTCTGCCCAACAATTTTTCGGAAAATGCCTTTACCAAGTCAGGAATACAACAGTTCATTTCCATTCGTTCCGTTGGTTGATGTAGTTTAACGTTTGATTTTGTCAGTTTATATGGACTTCCCCCTTTTTGAATTTACTCGGAGTTCAGTATTTTTTGTTATACTTTTTTCCGACAACGACATTGCATCATGATGTGTAGTTTTAGGCCTACAGTCGTTATTGCTTTCACATTTATTACTGAAAAAAAAAACATTAAGTAAAGATGGTTTTTGGTTTTGAGTTTGATATCATATACTCTATTAGTAGAAAACACTTTATGCCTATGTGGGTTGACACTTACTCCGATATTTTAGTCAAGGGAAAGTATGGTTTATGTATTAGTTTATACTTGGCTTATTTCTAGCTTTCAGTAAGTACGTTTACTCTTAGTTTGTTACATTGCGTGATTTGTTTACTTGTTATGTGTTATAGTGCTTAGTACCAATCCGATGAGTCAAATCCTTTCCAACTGGTTATTTTCACTTCTTTCTTATGTTGTATTGTTTCATCATTTTCCCCGGTTGGGCAAATGGTTCAGCGCTCTCAAACATGTTAAACACCGCCAGGAGCCTGTAACCCACTAGTAATCGTTGGTTACTGTCCGCCATAATTGTTTTCGTTTATTGTTGCAGCATTAGTCAGGCTGTTCGGTTTCTTTTTTTAATTGTCACCCCAAATGATTTAATTTATAAGTAATACGAATAATGATTTTAATTACGAAATACAAATATTATTATCGATGTTAAAGTAAAGGATTGTTTATTAACACAGTTGACATAATTTAAAAAAAATATTGTTCTTTTGTAATATTCCTTTTGTTCTATAGGTGATAAACAGAATGTTGATTTCATTGGAAATAAAACTGAAAATATTACTCATACGCTTTCATTTGGTACTAACTATGTTCAAAATCAAAATATATTGTGAAAATTAAGGATCGTTGATTAATCACTGTGTATCTGGTTTTTAGAAAGCTATAATGAAGTATAAACACGGAAATATATTCCATTTCAAATATGGCTATGTTGTTTTCCTCTATATGGAAATGTTTTCCAAGAATTGAACCAGCAGGAAAACACGATATCATTTCATGAAAATTCGGATTTTTTTGGGAAATCACATAAAAAAAATGCAACAAAACAACAACAAAAAAGATAACAATTAATTATTTGCATTGAAAACCAAAATTAAGTAAAGACAAAAGCCTTAAAATCATGTAACAAAATTATTCTGTATACTTCAATATTTTATATCCTACTGTTGACCTGTATTTTAAGAGACTCGATAAATCGTTGTGTCAATAGACTGTTGTTTCTTGACAGTTCATAAAAACATATCATTCAAGATTTCTCATTTTTAGCCGTACATAAAGCTCTTATTAATTCATAACATGCTTTTTCACTATGTCTATCAGGTTTTTGATATAAACATCTAAGTATCTGATATTTCCTGTTGTGCGCAAGATTCCACAAATTACAGTTTTGTTGACTCTGGTAACTTAACCTCTTCGTCGTTCCATAATCTCGTCATTCGATTTGACATTTGAAGAGACTACAAACATAAAAATTCACTTGTAATATGTGAGTAAAACTCGTATAATTGATTGGTTGCTGTAAATTGTTACTTAACGGGCAGTGAAAAATATTTCATTCATATTCAAAACGAGAACGAGTAAACAAATAATCTGATAAAAAGAGTCTCGAGATGATAAAACAGGTGTGAAGATATAACATTTTTGTCTGCATCCTGAGAGTTACTGGAAATATATCTTATAAACACTGTAGAAGAAGATAAGGGAATTATAACAGGATAAGAAATGCTTGGAAAATCAAATCTTTGGTTTATCCATCAAAACTCTCAAAAGATTTTTATTCAATTTTAATAATGATTTTAAGCGATTTTATATTATCTTGAAAGCAATAATGGATAGAGAAAAACTCCCAACCTATATATAAATTAAACCGATGTTCAAATCTATATAAGTCTTTTGTAAAACATCAACATCATGAAAATGCATTTCCATGTTCAATTTGTTAGGCTGCTGTTTCTTTGACATTAAAACATTCTTTCATTTTATCATGATAGATAAATATAAGGGTGTCAATTTCTTTTCGAGTGTTTAAATCCTTTCTATTTCGATAACTGTTAGATCACGTCTGATTGCTGAACGCCAAGAATGAATTAAAAAAGAATTAAAAACTATCCTCAAATTAGAATCAATATAACAAAAAAAAATTAGAAGCCACTATTGCGCCCCTTGCTTCTGGTGATAACAGTAGATGTTCAAATCTCATACATCCATTAAAATGTTTTAAAAAAACACTTTGCGACTTCGGCGCTTTTTCAGAATCTTCAGAATTTTTTGTGATGAACTTAAAGATGCGTACATGTAAACGTTTTTATATCTTGAGCTAATGGTTTAAATTATTTTCGTTTTCTGATTTTGTCAATTAGAATCATATTCGGCGAGAGTCATAAATGTGGAAAAAGACTGCGTTTTGTCTCTGACAACTTTGAAACATAAGCTCTGGTGTATCTTTATGAGAAAGAACGACTGAAATCGACATTAAATATGTTTGCTGTCACATCAAGAATTGGTTGGCAGTTAGGTTGCGTCGGTATCTAAACTCACTAGCAACAGGTTATCGCGGTCTCAGATCTTTAGATACCAGTAAAGTCGTATGATCTGTAATTTTACTGATTGTGTCTTATTACTGATTGAGATTTTTATTGAATGTAGATTCGCATGGCCGGGGATGCATGCATAGCAAGGGGCGCTTACCCTTCGACACACCCGGAATCGGTCTCGATTTATGAGATTTGAACATCGGTACACTAAATTTTAAATAGAAAACATTTTCACAGATGCTGTTTGATGTTGCTCATAAATATGGAATGTTTACCTAAAGTTATTGCGTTTGTCGCAAAGTTTAGTTCTCAACCGACCTTCATTGTAAATTTCTAGATGTTTATCAAATAAAACTATTACGTTTCAAGTTTATCTTTAAAATTGTCTTTTTTGCGGTCCTAAATGTGAAAATTTAACCAACTTAAAAAGTGTTCTTCATTGTATCTGGATAACGGTTAAATAAACATGTATGCATACAGAAATCATATACGTTGCTCTTGTATAGGTGGTATTCGTAATAATCTTATTAATTGTAACCTGGCTTTGCTCATGACTTTTTTGTACTTAATTTACTTAGTCACATTGAAGTTAAAATGAAAGAAATAAGATTTCTCGTATAATAAAAAAATTATATGCTATTTATATGTTTGTGTGTGGTAATTTCTGGTAAGAGGGAGGGCATATAACTTGCAATTTTGAACTGGAAAACTACTTTTAATCACACTTTGCAATTGTGATTGATTAGTTGATTAATTGTTTGTGTTAAAGCCGTGTTATCACTATTGACTTTACTGTGGCGGTCAGTTTTTTTTATATAATTGGAGGGAGCATAAGCGCCTGGAGAGGACCACCAACCTTCGTCAGAAAAACTGACAATCCTAATCAATTAAGATTGGAGTCGAACGCACCTACCACGTGCAGGGTTCGAACTCACAACCTCGGTGTTGACACGCTTGTGGTACAATAGATGGACTGCTTAGACTAATTGGCCACTGATTTCGATTATCGTTGAATAATTATTGGTGTTAACGCCGTGGTTATCACTATTGACTATATTGTGGCGGTAAATTTTTTATATAATGGAGGGAGACGAAGTACCTGGAGAGAACCAACAACCTTCGTCAGGAAAACTGACAATCTTAGTCAATTAAGATTGGAGTAGAACGCACCTGTCACGTGCAGGGATCGAACTCACAACCTCGGTGTTGACACGCTTGTGATACAGTAGATGAACTACTTGGACTAACTGGCCACTGATTTCGATTATTATTGAATAATATTCTATCTTTAGACATGAAGATTTTGGTCCTCACAGATAAAACGTGGAAAAGATTATATATACTACCCCTAGAAATTCGCATTATCGTAATGTGTTGACATACTTGGACTCCAGAAGATGTTCGAAAGCGAAGTGTAACATCATCGTCTGCCTGAAAAAAAAATGTGTATACATATAATATTAAACAGAAAATAATACAAAATGTCTTTACTTCATCCTGGATATTGTTTTGAATAATCAAAAGGTTATGATTATGACTATTCTCATCTGTCTACAGCAGTACATTGATTTTGACATTTAACTCGGTTACCACCGAGATAAAATTGAAAGTAATGCTTTAAACGTCTCTTTCATTTTTCATAAAAGAAGGAAATATAATACTAAGTTGCCTGCTCCCAGCTTCCCTTGAAACAACAAGCTTAATTTTGAATAATTTATGATCATTTTAGTGCTATATAAAGTTCACGTTAATGTCTCCGTCTTTTGTGTTATGTACTGGTATAAGCTAAAAAAAGTTATCACAATGTCAAATTTCATATTGTTTATCCTTCAACTACTTTTTCTCAATACTTCGCCCAAACAAAAATATTGTCTTTCCTTAATTAATAATGACAAATAAGTGAATTGGATTGAGTCACTCGTAACGATTCTATTCAAATACATTATTTAAATCCATGTATAACAAACACCTATATAACTGATCTTGTTTAATATTGAAAAGAAATTAACTTAAAAGGCATAATTACATAAAATATGTGCATTCTTCAAATTACTGACACTAAAGCGATTCTTTACCAAAAAAAAACCAATACGAGTAACATGATAAAATGAAGAACTAGCTTTCTTTCCAATCTTTGTAATGTTTTGACCTCAATTGTAAATTATATATGTAATGACCTCACCTTGTCCAATGTATCAGTTATGCTACCAGAACAATCATCTGTCCATTCTCCAGAGTCTAATTGTTTAAGCAGAAAAGTAGTCTTTATATATACACATATATGTATACCTATAGTACAGTATGCTGTAATTTGTGATGAGCCGTCTTTTGAAAATGACATATTTTTGCCCATATGATAGCTATCTACAGTCTTAATTCAGTAATACATTATTTTGTTTGCAGACAGGGATAGGGATAGGGTTGTTATTGAAATTGAGAAAATATTGTTTTATGACTGTCATTATTTATAGCATTGGGTTTTAATGGTAGATCTTTGATAATGTCTTTTTAATATATTCACAACTTTTGAAGAATCTGGACAATAAAGAGCATGATGGCTTGTACTCTGGACGAGTAAAGAGCTTGACACATTGTACTTTGGACGATTAAGTGCTCGACCTATTGTATAGACAACTGTCTATTGTTAAAGACATTTTGCCCTTTGAATGTTTTTTTATTTATTTTGAATTGTTGGGATGCTGTCTCATTGACATATATCACACAAGTTTTAATATTCATACTTAATATAGTAAACAGTTCACGTTAAAATGGTTGTGTCTTAAAGACAAATTTTATGCCCCTTAAAAGTAATCGATAAGTCGATTATTTAGGACAATTTATTGTTTGTGCTTTGTTTAAATTTCAAATCTGAACTTTTGAACGTAAGAATTGTAATGTTATTAAAACAAAAATATTGTTAGTGCCATAACCGGTTAACAACTGTTTATCGAATGTTGGACCGATAAAACAATACTAGTAACTCGAAATTCTACTTCCAATGAAAAGTCATCAAACATACATTTTTACTTCGTTTATAACCAACACTAGAAGCTGTAAAGAGCCTGTGTCGCTCACCTAGGTCTATGTGCATCTTCAACAATGGACCATTGCCAACATTGTGGACTAGAAAGGAATTCATGAAAAAAAAATCATTTTCGTTAATCTGCTTATCATTTTTTCTGTTTACAGTTTCTCTCTATCTTTAGTTTTTGCCCAAAACATAGAAAAGTGTAAAAAAAAATCATCATTTGTAGATCCGATCTTGCTGATAATTTTTTTTTATATTTAAAGTAAAATTGAGAATGGAAATGGGGAATGTGTCAAAAGAGACAACAACCCGACCAAAGAGTAAAAAAAAACAGCCCAAGGCCACCAATGGGTCTTCAACACAGCAAGAAAATCCCGCACCCGGAGGCGGACTTCAGCCGGCCCCTAAAAAAATATGTACTAGTTCAGTGAATATGGACGTCATACTAAACTCCAAAACATATAAATGAACTAAAATAAAAAAAAAACCATACAAGACCAACAAAGGCCAGAGGCTCCTAAATTGGGACAGGCGCAAAAATGCGGCGGGGTTAAACATGTTTAGTGAGATATCAACCTTCCCCCTATACCTCTAGCCAATGTAGAAAAAAACAAACACACAGCAATACGCACAGTAAAACTCAGTTTAAAAGAAGTCCAAGTCCGATGTCAGAAAAGGTAACAAAATAAACTAAGCAAAATGACAATGATACATAAATTAACAAAGGACTACTAGCAGTTACTGACATGCCAGCTCCAGACCCCAATTAAACTGATTGAAAGATTATGTCTTCGTCATATGAAAATCAAGCACAATCCCTCCCATTAGGGATTTAGTATCATACCATCATAAAATATATGAGAAGAACAAAACTTGCATCATGCCAAAAACTTGTTTTAGAATAAATGTGTTTGTTTCCGATGCAAAGACCCTATGAGTGAATCAATATTAATATCAAAATATGTCATCTTTTATGACCTGACAACAGTATTGTAACTATATCCCTTCTGAATAAGTCTGTTAAAAGGTTTGGTTAGCTTTTGAGGTGAATGCCGACATTTTTGTGCTTTGTAAAGAATATTATCATAAAAAATGGATGCGAAATATCTGAACGTAAAGGATGTCTGCATGTTGAATTATATTTACGAATGATGTCCTAGTATCTATCTATTATAGTTTTCAAGATAAAAGGCAAACACACAAAATAATAAGTAAAAATCATCATTAAAGAGCAATAACTCCAATAAAGAGTCGACTGACTTATTTGTAGATCTGGTCTTGCTAATCATGTTCGCATATTTAAGTTGTTTTATCTATCTATTATAGTTTTTAAGATAATAGGCAAAAACGCAAAAATAGGTAAAAATCTCCAATAAGGAATCGACTGATGATTTCGGCCATGAGACTTCTTTGTAGATCTTGTCTTGCTGCTCATTTTTGCTTATTTAAGTTTACATTTATTTATCTATTAATGTTTCAAAGATATTAATCTCAAACGCAAAAAAATAGAAAATTGTCATTAAAAGGCCAATAACTCTAGTTAGGAGTCGTCGGACGATTCCAGCCATTATCTAAGTTGTCGATCTTATCTTGCTAATCATTTTTCTTATTAATGTTGATTGACAGGCGGGCTCATCGGACACATTTTAAAACTTGTTCCCAAATCATGCTTGTCTCCAAGTTTTGGCCCAGTATTTTTAGATGAAGCTTTTTGTAAAACAGACGACGACGGACGACACCTACGACGACAGACGACGAATGATGACGGATGACACCTACGACGACGACAGACGACGAATGACGACTGACGACACCTACGACGACGGACGACAAATGAAGACGGACGCCAAGTACTGAGAAAAGCTTACTTGACCATTCAACATCCTGTCATGTGCAGAAAATTGAGAAAAGTCAAAATCTCTCCTAAAAATTTCTATAAACCTTTGATTTCCATTATATCAGTATATTGGAGCATACCATTAATAATAGTGTAATTGTGACGTCATGAATATTCATTCGAATGATCAAATGCATAATTTTGACTAATGTTTGGTTGAATTTGGTAGTTTTTGCTTCAAGCGACATATGTCAAAAACATGGACCACCATACTTTTTGGTAGCATTGCAACCTTGGTATATTGTTAAATTAAGTATAAAACTCTGTCTTTGTATATACTGGGCATCTTTTGATTTTCATGATTATTCTTTCAAGAAAAAATCTATCAACTAAATCTCACCTTGAGACACTTTTGACCGTCGCTCAGAGTTGATTCTCCGTTTTTCTCGTATTTTAACATTGGCATAAGTGTAGTCGAGCTGTAAAATTATTTTTCCGTATTATTAAATTCGTTTAACTACTGCTATTTCACTTACTCCTTATTTGTACTAAAATTGTCGAACTGAATCATTGGTTTGTGTTGGCGTTTAATAAATTAAATTTTTTTTTCGATACTCCCTTTGGATTGCAAAATGTCTAAACATAAGAGGCGAGTTAAAAAAAACTTTCATGGACCGGTCATCATGCTTTCTTAATAATATTTTCACAGTGTATTGTACTACTTTTAGGACAAATTGTATCTACATTATAGAAAACTTCATCAGCTATAACTCAAAATACGGACAATTTCATGTTAAAGGGATCCTGAATTCTGTTTGACAGCTACATACATACTAATTTATGAGCCTTTTCAACTAGACAATTTCATACTTTACTTTACCATTGATGACAAAAGTGTATTTAAATTGTAATCTTATCCCTATTTAAAGCATACAATACGAAGAAATAAATTTGAAAGGCGTATGCAAACATTTGCAGGTAATACACTGTCCACACTCGGGACTATGTACAATAACTGGTTTCCAGGGATAAGTGATCGCAAAATGGCCGATTGGTTATTAAATCTTATATTATAGACTTCACCGAACCATCAATTGTATAAAATTTCTTACCCAAAAACTTGACCGGTTATTAAATTTTTAAAAGGGATTGACAAGACTGTTACCGACAACACAGATACTCAAACGAATCCAAGAGCATCAAAAATCCCTTTTAGAGAAAATTTAGTGGAGATCTTATATAATCCGGAATGGTAAGCAGTTCTTTCTCCACATATGGGTATATAAAGATCTGCTTACCATTCCGGAGCACATAAGATCACCACTATTTTTCTTAAAAGGGATTTTTGATGCTCTTGAATTTTTTTTTGAGTATCTGTGTTGTCGTTAACAGACACCTGTCGTGTCGCTAGTATAAGTAAAAGTTGGGTGATAAGTCTCATTCAGTAATGTCACATTCGAGAAAAAGCGGACGTGATTGTTGTCACGACAAAAGGAACATATTCATCATCTGCGAAACAGATGTTCCATGACGGTCAAAAACTCGCGATGTCGTCCCTTGAAAAATTTTACCACTTTGAACCCTTAGTTTATAATAAATAGCTCCCTTTTAAGCAACAACCTTCTATTAAGGCAATCATGATGGATGGGAAAGGCAAGCTCTGGAATCAACTGGGATATATACACTCCTTATGCAGGCGCTGCTGGAATGTTACTACATAGGAATGGAAAGATCACAATTCAGAAGCTGAAATCATCTCCTTTGCTGTAAAGTTCTGTTCTTAACTGACCCTTATGGTCAATTTCTAGACGTAAGTAAATATATGTAGCAGACTTAACTGTATTTGTGGTATCGTGTATCTTAAGTTTGATGGGATCTTGGGTTATTTAGTGGGATGCCATTATCCAAAAAGCAAAAGAATAAAGCTAGTTTTCTTTCATTCTTCCTGAAAAGCTCCTGTGTGTAGTCTCTCTCATGTATAATGGAACAAGTTGGCAAGAAGAAAAGTACAGTTGATTTACACATGAATGTCGATTGTTTGTTAAAAAACACGGCATTTAAACGAAACAAATATTTAAAGGCATATTTTTTTTACCTTGAATTATGTAAAAAAAAATTTAAATGGGATATTCAAGGTACTGTTTAATGTTTAAGAATACTTACTGAAACATCGGATAATAGTCGACTTCTCCGTGGTAAAACTGGTTTTTCCTTATCTAAAGAATCAAACAAATACTATGTATTACATTGTAAAACATCATAACCGATGTTTATAATTACAAGTATAGACATTTATGAGGAGAAAAGTCTTGAAAGTATTGCTATAGAATGAACAAGAACAGGCAAGCAGAAACACTCAAGTTTTGTTGTGATAAAATGGAGATGCGGTTGACTCCATTGAGAAAATGCGTGAAAAAAAAATTAATTAAACTAAATAATGGAGATTCATATATAATGTTCAGCAAAATACATTATTAGCACCTACATTAATAGACAAACTCTAATTGGCCTCGATTTAAGACAAGTAAGAAATGATTAAAGAACGATGTCAAATGTCTTGACACCAACACCCAATTCCCGATTGACCAATATATGACACTTACCCCCCGAGAGGCGCGTAAACATGATGAAGGGTTGAACTTCGATGAAAGAATATGTGAAGTGAACATCAATGAGCCAGCAACCCAAAGAAAAAAGTGAATATCAATGAGACAGTAACCCACCAAAAAAATAACCAACAATCAATAATATGTCGAGCTCTAAATAGTCCGGAGTCTAATGAAGTTGTGAATAATTCAAACAGACGCAAGCAAAGATCTTCCATCAAGACCAAACTCTCCAAATAACAAGGAGTGCAAATGCTGAAATGCCTGCTTTACTGACCATTGATTTTATGTTGAAAGTCTTAAAGATAAAGGCTTAACTACAACTATCAAATAAACTAAAATCTTTTAAAGATCTATCCAATGAGGCCAAGGTCAGATATGTCAGGCAGATATGTGCACTTTACAAGTATTCCATACACCAAATATAGTTAACCTATTGCTTATTGTAATTGAAAAATAGACTATAACACAAAAACTCAACATTAAACAATGAACCATGAAAATGAAGTCAAGGTCAGATAAAACCAGCCAGACAGACATGTACCCCTTACAACCATTTCTTACACCACATATAGTTGACTTACTGCTTATAGTATCTGAGAAACGGACATAATCACGTAACTTTAACCATGATCACTGATCCATGAAATGAGGTATAGGTCAAGTGAACCCTGTCTGACGGACATTTACACGTTATAAGGAACCCAGATATTAAGCATAGTTATCCTATTACTCATAATAAGTGAGAAATTCACATGACGAAAAAACCAGATTTTTTTCAATCAATCGTTGAACCATGAAAATGAGGATAAGGACAATAGACATATGACAGACAGAAACCTCGTGACAAAAGATATCTGCATACAAGGTATGAAGCATCCAGGTCTGCTACCTTCTGAAATATAAAGCTTTATACAAATAGTTTACTCCGCCGCCGCCTCTGGATAGTAATCCCTATGTCTAGCATACTGCGACTTTCGTCGCAGGCGAGCCAATAACCAATACGATATAACACAAGACAACAAATGACGAGGTTCCGTAATTTTCTCAGTTTTTGTGTGTTTCTGTGTTTTGTCTTCTTAATCGATTTATGAGATTTGAACATCGGTAATCAACCGTTGCCTATATTTGGACAGTTCATAAACAAAACTTTCATAAAAGAACAAACAACAAAAATCAGTACATGTAAACTTAAAAATAACGTTTGAACAGAATAATAAAAAAAATCAAATTTATTAACAAATTATATCGACATGAATAATGAACACAATTACAGATCTAGAGAGCAAGCTCAAAGTACTTAACTAGCTGAATAATATATAAAACAATAAATTACTATGAGAAATGATTGTGTTAAGGTCGAACATGGACATCGGTCACTTTTACTTATAAATTTAGTACAAATGAGTTCAGCCGGATAAATTTCATTGGTGTATTAAGAAAAAAAACTTTTTTTTTGTTACAGAGAATATATCATCTAAATATTTGCTTTGTTAAAACTATCTGTTAAATGGTGTTATGTTATGTCTAGTTTTATAGTACTGTCTTCTCTTTTCATCTCTAACCGTTCAATAATGTAGAAAACGGAGGTTCTGATGCTAATTTCCTTGTGCTATGTCTGTAAAGTTTCTATATGCCATTTGGTTTTTTTTTTTGGCATAGCTTTTTGTTTTTATAACGATTAACATTATAACACAATGTTGATTGCTGTACCCCAATTTTTTACATTTTTACTTATTATATCTGTTTGTTTTGCTCACACAGGCAATATAATGGAATTCTTTGCGACTGTCATACAAGTGAGAGATTTATCTAGCTATAAAACTAGCTGCAATCCACCATCTTCTACATAAGGAAATGCCTGTACCAAGTCAGAATATGACAGTTGTTTTCCATTAGTTTTATATGTTTGAGCTTTTGGTTTTGCAATTTGATAAGGGACTCTGTTTTGAATTTTCCTTGGGGTTCGGTATTTTTGTTATTTTACTTTTTCCTGGTTAATCTTTACTAGGAACGCTCAAATTCAAAGTCGTGATGTTTACTATGCATGGGTACACAATCAAAGGAGCATTGATATAATGAAAATAATCTCAAACCTAGCTTTCTTTCAAGGAGATGCAATATAGTAAAATAAAGAATATAGATCCACTGAATAAGATGAAGTATGGAATATAAAGGTAATTCACTTACTTTTTCCCCTGATGGCTTCCATAGCAACATAATGATCTGCAAAATAAAATGATCATGTCTTGCATTATCATGAATATCTTTGATAAATTTATTTTTATAAATTACTCCGATGCCTTTTTTGAAAAGTTATAAATTACTTTTTTATAGATTTTAATGCGTTTGCTAAATGGATAATCAAATTGATATCAGACTAAACAAAAAATAAGCATAAAATGAGCTGTGGGTTATATGGAACCATATATTCAACAAACAAAACACAAAACATTCAGATGTTAGTTTTGGTCATCGCCTACTTAAGAAAACAATGAAGAATGAGAATATATATTTCTTGCACAAAGGGGCCGTCGAATATTTTAGGTCAGAGGAAGACAGAGGAAGTCTTTTACGAAAAGACCACACACATAATTTTGATTATTGTCAGTTTATTATTTCAATTGTACTATACTGCATGCCATAACCATTTAATGTAAATGTGTTTGTGCTAATAAATATTATCTATTGTCATAAACTATTGAAACACAAACCAAACAAATCCTAAAGATAAACCCATATGCTTCAAAACATGTATCGTCGTTTAGCTCATGACCAGTAAGAGATCGGTGATAAGTTGTATTTGGTGATGTCATAAATGAAAGGAGGAGGAATGGAGGAAGGCGTTGAGGATACGACAATAAAGATATTCGTGCAATAAATATATCTTTTCAGTTAAATCAAACAAATCATGACATGTTCGTAAAACTAACCAAAAGGTGACTTTATATTTATTATAAGAAACACTTTTTTCAATAGCTTATTTGAAAGCATCAACTATTTATTATTATACAGTACTTTAATAGTGCATTATATATGATGAAAATTACCCTATGCGCTTAAAAGGTCTGATGTTTAAAGTTACATCCAAATCATAATGTAGGAACTGTCTTTAAATTTACATTTACGTTGCCTTTAGAAAAAAATACAGAAAAATCCTGCCCAACTATAGATAAATGTTTACATTTCGTTTGAAAAACAAAACTGTCAATAAATGCAATATTTTTACATGTATCACAAAAGTTAGAATTAACTTATCATAACAGGTGCACGAAATTTGCCGTAACAATCCAATCCCACGTGGTACTGTTAACTCTGTGACTGCAGAGAGTACCATGGTTTAACTCGGGGAAAAAAAATCTGGAGGAACTATATAGTGCGTTGACCGATGACGTATGTTTGCGCAGGGGGTTCACGCCTATATATTGGTGAGTTTTGATAGATAGCTTCTATTGGCAATTCAGATATCCTCGGAACGTCTCGAAAATATTCGATTATTTATACAGATAGTTTTCTGTCTTTTTGATACGGTCCCTCTATGTATAGGAAACCACGTGCCATTGCATATTTCAACAACCAAAGTTCGTTGTAAATCGGAGAGTAAAGCAGTAAAGACTAGATTGCAGTGAAATAAATCATTTATATATTCCAGCCTATTTGCCATTTGAAAGAACATATGCGTTTTTATGTGAATGTTTATCAAATATCCCGTATAAGGATAAAGCAATTACTGCATATAATTTTTGTTTTGAGACGGGTAAACGCATTATTGAATATATAAAGCGTGTTTTGAAAGACAGCACATTTTCCCTGAATTTCGAGTAAAAGTGATAAAAATGATTGAAAACCAAAATATGTGTTGGTAATTTAATAGCTAATCACCTCAAACTAAAAAAAACAAAGGTAACAGTAGTATATCGCTATTCGAAATTCATAAATCGATTGAGAAAAAAACAAATCCGGGTTACAAACTAAAACTGAAGGGAAACACATCATATATAAGAGGAGAACAACGACACAACTGAAACTCAACACTAAAATGCAACTCACACAGAAACGAACTATAATATAACAATGGCCATTTTCCTGACTTAGTACAGGACATTTTAAGAAAAAATGGTGGGTTGAACCTGGTTTTGTGGCTAGCCAAACTTCCCGCTTTTATGGCAATGTTAAATATAACATTAAAATGACAAGATTACATGACAGGACTACAATACAAATAAATGGGAGAACATACAGGACAGAGACACACACAAATAATAGCTATCAAAAGGTACCAGGCTTATAATTTTAATTCGCGTTTCGTCTACATAAGACCCATTAGAGACGCTTAAACCCTTTAATTAGTGCTAAGTTTTTGACATCATCAGTTTCTTTTAATAATGCTTACTTCTAATAAAACAACCAATCATAACAACTGATACAGTTGCTCAAAATACCGCCATCTGCCGAAACACAACTTTTTAGCACTTCTTCGGTTTTAGGTGTAATACCATCAAACCATAGTACGTCACATCCGGTTGCATACGAAAAAGTGTCGAAAAAAAAATATTCCCTTGAATTTGACAGTTGTATGAAATTAATCCTACATTTCATTGCAGTAAAAAATTTCTGAGTCATAAACATATTATATCTTGGGTATTTCAAAGCACCTTTATTTTTTTATTTGGTGTTTCTATAAAATATTTTGGAAACTTGAGGTTACATGGTTACTAAAGCTTGTACACAGGAAAAACAGGGGTGAAAATTTGATTGGTTAACTTCAAGTGATGGTTTTTTTCTTATATGCAATGAAATGTTATGTGAAATTTTGTCTTTAGTACTGGACAGGATAAAACTTGTAAAGACTAAAAGGGGAAAATCAATGGTGGTACTACACCGTAAACATAATATGTAGTCAATTAAACATTCACAAAATAAAGTTCTAAAAATATGTGAAAACATTTTAAGGAAGAAAATATATGCGGGCATCATGCTATTGCTTACAATTAACATGATTAAGGGGGCGAAACTTCGATATTTCAATGCGCATTGTAACTGCTAGACTTAAATAAAAAAATATCTTTCGACTTTTCTTATTGTTTGATTTATAATTTCACTATAAAGATTTATATAGTTAAATGATTTTTTATTTATATAATGTCAACCATAAAAAAAGGTATTAAAAATATAGACACAAATAAATAAAATATCAGTTAATGAAAAGTAATATTTCAAAGAATTCACTTATACAAATTAGAAAACTTGTCTTCTGGCTGCTTAAACTGCATTGTTCATTGTTTAAATGCATACTTTCATCGACGACAGAAAAGGGTGTTAAAATTATCACATACTAGACAATGCAATGATCTGTATTCCTGGTATTAGTAAGAAACCTTACAGTAATGCGTAATTGTCAAGTATCAATGTTGCATTATCATTGACTTTTAACTCATTCAATGTCTTACCTTTCTTTAATTTTCTGTTAATGAACTTAGAAATTTTCAAGAAACTTAAGCCCTAACTCCCTTAAACATAGTTAACCTCAGATATATTTTTTAATGCTATTACTCCGCACGTTTTCAAGTAGTTATACACCCTTTGCTTTCATAACTTTGGTTTTGAGCGTTCCCGATGAAGGTAAATCAAGAACAACACTTCGAACGCACGAAATTGAAAAAAGAATAATTTGGTTTAAAAAAATCTATTAACTAGCAATAATTCAAGTTACAACTAGACTTCCTAAATAGCTTGAATGACTCGTTCTTTTATTCATATGAGGCTGACTTCATACAAGAGCTTCTTATGAAGAAAGAAAAGAAGATATCATTATCGTTCAACTTCTCTTTCCGCTATATAGATGATGTCCTCTCACTGAATAATTCAAAGTTTGGTGACTATGTTGAACGCATATATCCCATCAAACTTGAAAAAAAGATACAACAGTTACAGTTGAGTCTATCACATATCTTAGCTTACATCTACAAATTGACAATGAGGGTCGGTTGAGAGCAAAACTTAACGACAAAAGAGTTGAATTCAGTTTCCCAAATGAGAACTTTCCATTTCTTTGTAGCAACATTTCATCAGCGCCTGCATATAGACTATATATCTCCTAAGTTGATACAATATTCCAGAGCTTGCATTTACTTTCATGATTTCCTTGATAGAGGGAAGCTATTAAACTAGAATTCAAATTGAAAAGCTGAAATCATCCCTTCGAAAATGTTATGGAAGCCATTGCGAGTTGGTTGACCTTTATTGAATACCTGACTAACAGATGACGACGGATATGTTCCAGTTGTCGTAACCACCATCTCGTTCTCTTTTCCTTGAATGTGGTCTACCGAATTAGACTTACCAACGGGTCAGTACTTACATGAGACACTCGACTGGTGCCACATGTGGAGCAGGGTCTACTTACCCTTCCAGAGCCCATGTGTTCACCCCAAGTTTTTGGTTGGGTCTGTGTTGCTTAGTTTCTGGTTTTATATGTTGTGTTTTGTATACTGTTGTTTGTCTTTTGGCGTTTTTTTTCGTTTTTTTGCCCCGGCTTTGCCAGTTTGTTTTCAACTTATGACTTTGAATATCCCTGTGATATCCTTCGCCTCTCTTAAAGTAATAATTTTTTTTTAAATTGTGAATGAATCTATCATGATTACGAATAAGTTATAAGTCCCCGTGAGCAAATTAACTTATTTTCGCTGATATTTTTTTTATTGCGTTTAGTTCTCTTTACTTTACTGTGAGGCGATTTTTGGCGATTTTCACTACTGCAACTAATTGTCTGTAAAGTAAAGTGGTACCAGGGAAGAATTTTAAACCATGAATCAAACAAGATAACACCATGAACAAAATTAATAAACAAAAATCAACAGACAAACAACAGTCCACAAAACACAACAACGAAATGTTAAAATGAACACTACATAAAGTCGTGAATGATTTTATCTGGCCAGGAATAATATTCAACCTTTCATATATTTAATAACACAACTACTAATAATTTCTTTACATACACAATTACCTGCATTTATGTTTTAAAAGCTTATAGTGAAATCACTCAAAACAGATTTCATTCGAATATTGAAAAGTAAAATAACATAAATGCCGAACTCCAAGGAAAATTCAAAACGGAAAGTCCCTTATCAAATGGCAAAATCAAAAGCTCAAACACCTCAAACGAATGGAAAACAACTGTCATTCGAATAGTTGACGAGATTAAACTTTTGAACACATTTAAC